TTTAGAGGGAATTCGCATTGGAAGATATTCTTTGCCGTTGACAAATGTTGGTAATCAGTACAAGGGAAATGGTTCTTGAAAACATGTGAGCAAAGAAAAGTTAAGGATAATGGTACGCCGTTGTGAAGTTTTAAAGTTAGGAGCAATACTTCATGATTAGATTGATTAGTGTAGCTGCTCTGCAATTTCATTTTTAAAGCATTTCAGAGTGAAATGTAAACAGATATTGGAGTGAATATTTGTAGCTCCGAGAGCAAATTTTTTTTCAGCAAGTTGTCTTCTGAGCTAGGGTTTTATTCGGTAAACGTTTCGATATCATGCTAGACATCGTCAATGGTAGATCAGAGCTTCCTTGTGAAATGGAGAGCTCCCAGATGAGGTCCGCGTGACAACTTAAGTCTCTAGTTGGAGACTCCAAGCGATTTGGCGCAGAATCGATCTCAATGGCGCAGAGGCATGCACAGATTATCTTCATCACATACTAAACATCACTGTTTTTCCATTCCCTCTTATTCTCTCTTACGACTTTTGACCACATTATCTCTTGTTTCTCTTCCTCTAATCCTCTTATTTTCTATTTTGATGCGCCGGTGTGTGGCCATATGGACCGTTCCCTGGTAATGCCAGGTCTCATGTTGATGCTGACCGACTGATTATCCAACAGATACTTGTCATATGCAAGCATCCAAGATATGTCTGAATAAATTATCACTACTCCATATGTGACAGCTTAATGAGGCATTAAAATTCTTTTAGCTATTTTTGAATAGAATACAGTGAATGTCATTACTTTAAATCTTATGAAATATAAGCATTTATGCACTTCTTATGAAAATGCTTGATTTACGTGAATTCCAAGACTCACAATCCAAGTTCTTAATTTATAAGTTTGAGAGCTTAAGTTCTAGTTATAACCAGCTACGAACGCTAGTATGTAGCCCTATTTCAAAAACAGTACAATAATTCTACAAGATGGTTGCCATCACTTGGATAATGAATGCTGAATAGCTTCAAGCTCAAATTTCTGTTGACGTATAAGCTTCTTCAGGCTATAAATACAGCATGTTAAGTGACCTTAAATATCAGGTATATATGTGTTAGGTTAGTAGCAAAAAACAAAAGGTCTAATAACTAATGACACCAGCAGGGTGCCAACGTCCTGTTGGGCACGACGAGACTCGAGCTCACGGTACAATAGTTAAAGGTTCAGTGTCTTAGCCAATTAGTCACAGTTTAGACAAGCAGAACATTGAGACCGAAAGCTCTTTTAGAAGATGAATTTCATAAATTGTAGGACAGAGTACGATTCAGAAAGCTGACAGATGATAAACAGTTAGCTAAATGTAAACGAATACACTTTTATGCTAATGATACTAACAATAACAGTGCAACACCTGAATAGAGTAAGTACATAGCATGACATTTTTGTAAATATGCTTATTCAATAAAATAAAAACTGTTTTTCAAATATTTCCTCCGAACATCTTGTTTGAAAACAAACAAATAAATAAACTGTTTACAAATAGGGATATCCAACATACAAGCGTGAATAAGCCTTCTACCAACGAAATCAATACTGTATTATTAATTGGACGCAGAACAGGATAATCCTACATTTCCCTTATACACAATTAAAACTGACCAGATGACAGAAAACTCCATAACGGAAGACATGCTTTTAAAAAGGAGAAGAAAAATAAATTCAACTTTTTTGAAAGATCGGAAAGTAAGTAACGACAGGAAAAGGGAAAGCGAGACTAGAACAAACGGTTTCTAGGTTTTAGGAACAAGATAGTGTTTTCGTCATACCCAAAAACCCTCCATCTTACTCTATCACCATTTATCCAATCGTGTTAGAAACACAACTGTGTACTATCAGAAACCTACAGACTTTCAATTATAACTGTGTGGTTGTGCAATGAATGCGCATGTACTATATAACTGACACCTGGTGCACAAAGGGAAGATTTTATTGATACGATAAAGTATCAAAGGTTATTGGACTTCTAACAAAAAAAGCTCTGCAACCAAAATGAGAATACAAGTTATTGTTAAGTGGTTTTTAATTCATACTTCTGTGAACTAGAAGTCAGGAAAATTTAAGTTCGACAGATGTAAATTTTTTACAGTTTTCTTAAATAAAAACGCGTTAAAAATGAAATAATACAATTCACTTGGGTACATATTACTATGATTGGTCATAGTTGTACAGACCGTAATAGACTGAGTGAGGTTTGAACTCACACCCCATTGCTTGAAAGTCGAGTTATTAAGTCAATAAACCATGGCTCTAAACAACCTAACTAATCTTGCGAATAATAACAAAACAAAGAATTGTTTATATATACATCATATTTCTACAGATATACATACACAGGTAGATGATCCCTTAAAACTCACTTCGAATAAGGTAATCATTATGGGACTTTTGTGTGTATACCTATTCCAAGTAGAAATATTGTGAAAACTGGCCATTGTCGTGTTTTGACGGAAATATGTTGTGTAATAACTATTATTGGCAACCTTTTGAAATATGTATTCTCGAAATACATGTTCGCTGATCATGTCCACTTTACTATCCAGTGAACACACACTCCACATCCAAATAATAGCGGAGCGATTATTAATAGACAAAAAGAATGAATATGTTGAAACATATGAAAATAAATCATAAGATACAATAAAAAGAAAAGTCCGCATCATAGAACTGTTGTGGGAAGAATGAACACAATTTGTAGAAAGTTTGTATTCTTAGAAATCATCCATGAAGTCCGAACCCAATCTTGAGGGGACAAGAGCGCCTTTAGAAATTTGAACCAGTATCAGTCAACACAGATTACAAAAATTGTCACCTTATTGATAGAACTCGGTTACATTAAATTGGTTAGTATTAAGTGGTCAACGAGTATACTTGGTTCAGTCGCATAGGTTGATCAGTCACAGATACTGACGTTAGAACGAAGAACTAAACATAAGGATAGTTGCATTCCAGGGACTAAAAAGTGCATTAAAATAAATACTAAAATCTATATAAACTTGACGTTGGATGTTTAACACTGTACATCTCAAGTCCAAAGTACTGATTACAATCTATCGATCTTTTCACAACTCATGATGAATCTTAGTACAGTCATGTATATTCTTAAGGTATATTTATCGTGGGTAAACAATACAACAAAGATACATAAATTAAAGTAGAATTTTGCATGAAAGTCTATCAGTTCATCTCGTCACATTTTACAATACCGAACAAAGAGGAAGTGGATAAAAACAGTGACTTTTAAGCTTACAAAAATCTGTCACAAAAGAGAAGACGAATGAATGAAAGTTAATAGAAAGTTCATAATTTTGGTGATAAAATGGTAAATGCATCTGAATCATTATGATCGGACTAAAGTTATATCATCTGGATATTTCGGCCGCTGAAGCCTTTCATCTCACGAGTCCTAGAGAGATGGTCTAAGCCTCTCTACACCGCTCAGATCAACAGTTAAATAATTCGTGGATTGATGCCATGTCTTGGTGTGATAACCTTTGGCTTACTGCTGACATAAATTCTACTTCGGTTAACATACAACGTTGAGGTAGGTGGTGGTTCTCAATCCTCATCCAGATGGTTGATAATCGAATCCATAGACTCCTAATTATAAGTTTAAAAGTGTAAGAAATATTTAATTTGTGTGTGAACGTAGTTAAGAAGTGATGGACCGCTCCGGTTTTTTTATTGATTGATTATTTATCTATTTACTTATTTACTTTTTATAAGCAGTTACCACTTAGGTTAACGTTAGATCCTGTTTAAACAAGACAGCCGACAGTAAAAAGCCCAAACTAGCGACATATACCAATATCAGAGAATTACAAAGTAATGTATGCCAGAAAGGTTGAAAGCATAGCTACTAAAACAGCACAGCTTCAATTTACATTATACAGTTACATTTAACCAGTATAGTTAACTACTAATAGCGAAATTCAAATCACCGTGTAAAAACCCAGAAAAATTAAACTGGATACAGGAAATGATGTCAGTAAGACAATCCATCTAACAATGTTGCACAGGTGAGTGGTATGTTACCGATGTGGCTATAAAATGATCTTCGTCAAGAGTATAGGTAAAACCTTCAACACACAGCTTCATTACAATAATTAAAAATACTACTGACTAACATAAGTAAATGAAGACTATTTAAAAGAAAAGGATAAAACCACTAATAGTTGCCTATACCCAGTCAAATTCATTGAGTGCGTAATAGAAAAGCACCATAATATAAATTAATACAAGATTTATCAGCCCTAAAACCTGAAGGCTCCTCACAAGGTCATGGGGTGTGCAATGCTGAAAAGTCCCAGACTCGATCGAATCAACTGTCCAATACTCTTAATTTTTCAATAGTTCTCTAACCGATATCAATCTCTAATAAAGACTACTTTGGAAAGATTTACTAACGAGGTCATGAGCAATATCTAATGTATGAGGGATTTTGTCACTAAACACCTGTCTAAAGCACATAGAATGGAATGTGAACGCAAAAACTATCGCTAGAAAACGGAGTAACTGCGCCCATAAAGCAAGCATCTACCATTAGGCGTGTGGTTTAAGGTATTCAGTTTAAAAAGTTAAAACAAGCTGCATAAACAAGACCAACTGCCCAACTTCTAGTCAACTGAAATTCTTCCAATAATCCCGCTTATTGCGACCCTATACAACTTCAGTGGTCAAAGGAACGTTGTGGTAAACAATTCTGCTATCTGATCGAAATCTATTTACTTGTATCAGCAAAAGACGCAAATTAAAATTCAAAAAAAATGTCAGTCGGTGTTTAGACTGCTACTCAGTTAGCTGAGAAAGCCAGGAACTATGCATGCATAATACTCATATCTTTCAATAATAAAATATGAAACTCATATAATGCATCAAACGAAAATTATTTTTATCATAAAATACGAAAAAGAAATGAAAAACCCTGGGTGTTCAATTCTTTTAAAAACAGACAAATTACCTTCTGACCATAGGAATTCTTTTCTTCCACTTGTTAAAGGTTCCACTAATATATATCTCTTTACCGCCACCATTCCAACGAAAAACAGTAGGAAGTTTTAAGTCCGACAACTTTTGTGGCGGTAACGTTTTTGCTCGATCTATTGAACTTCTAGTTTCAACAGTTTGTGGATGATTAACACCATACATAATCCGTTCATCTGCAGAACACGACAAACCAGCACCCGAGGATCGTTCAAAATGGTAAACGAGAGAATTATCCTCTTCATCAATATCATCTACAGTTTTTGATGTCGACATTCTTTCAGGTTGTAATAAATGACGAAATTTGCTGTTATCATTGTTATCATCTAGATTTATGGGTTCACGAAGACTTGCTGCACGTAACATTGAAGTAGCTTCGTCGACTGAAATTGTGCTTTTATCATACACTTTCATATCATCAGTTGTTGATGACATCATTTCATCAAGACAATCAGCAGGAGCAGACTGAGATAAGTTCTGAAACAGAATTTCAACGCTTACTTGAGGATAAATCAATAAGACATTAAAATGGATGGAATTACTTGGAAAAAACTTCAGTGATAGTGTGTGGAGTTTACTAACTGTATGCTAGACGAAGTACCGATTTCAACTATTATGGTTGTACTAATGAATGTGGTTACTTATCTTTAAGAGAAAAGTAGTGGTATTGTCTACTCAGTACACACAAACACACACCTATGTACAGAAGAATATCCAATCGACTGTAAGTAAAATTCTTATGTAAAACTGTTTTTCATAGTTAATTAGGTCATTATTCAAACAAACAAAAAACAATTCACCAAACAACTAGACAATGAATTCTGAACTATTCAAGGTTAAAACAAGAAGTTTTTGAAAACCGTTCAATAAGATAAACATCACCTCGTCAATGGTGAATTATGATACATAAACAAAAGTCTGGGGAGAGAGACATAACCGCGTTGCGTACATACTTGAAAGTGATAAACAATATATAAAGGTTGAGAAAAGATAGTTATAGATGTAAAAGTAAAGCAATACACAAACTAGGTATGCTAAATTTGACAACCATGATAATCATGCATATCCCACCAACTAACTAACGATATACTTCAAAAAGAAGTTCCACTGTACCCTATACACTGAACTCATTTCAGATAGTTTCCCTGTGTGAATGTTTGACTACTATGCAACTCAGTGCATATATGATAGTGCTCTGACTTTTGGAAACCTAATGTTCAGATGACAAATCACATACAGAAGGAAACGTGAATTTCAGAAGTCACTTAGGGTTACAATCAAAGCATTCAATGAAATGATACTACTGAAATGGGTTAATGGTACTAACTTGTCTTTGGTAAATTAATATGACAACAGCCTATTATATGAGCGATTTCAGTCTATATATAAACCGATTTTCATTTTTTAACCAACAGGCAAACCACTTAACAAAGAGAATATTTTAAAATTATGAGATAAAAATGAAAATCTAAAGCACAATAGTAAAGATTTGAGTAAAAGAAACTTGAAATATGAAGGGTGATCTATGATAATAAATCTAATAATTCATTCAGCAATTTTGTGCATATTCGTGTAATAGGCAGTGAGTCACACCTATTATGCGAGGACTAATGATACTGCATGGTTGCCCAAACCTTAGTAGATGAAACGGTGCTCGAACCCGCTACCACTGGTTGAAAGTCAACCCCTCAAAGCAATAGGTCACAATTTCACTATACAGAAATAAAAACTTGAAAGGTAACAAGAAATGATAAAAATACCACTGCTGCTTAAAGTATCAACTTTACTGTAATAATTACGGTACAGTAGACGTTTATCAAAACTTAGTCAATTATTCCCAACTGTAAAAGAAGCAGCTAGTCATTCTCTATTCGTTTGAAAGAAGAAAAATAATTTTGAACCAAGAATCTTTAGCAAGCAAAATATGCCAACTAAATCAAAAAGAAATGAAAAGAGTATTCAGTAAAATTTCTTATTCAATGATATAATTTCCGTCTGTAGCGTCACATTTATACTAATTACAAGAACAAAACAATCTGTTATTGGATACTAGAACAAAGTAGTGCTCAGGAACAGAAGGAAAATTGTTCGATTTCAGAAGTGAGGCAGAAAGCCTGAAGAACCGATTATCCAAACCTCTAAGAACGAATTTCTTACTTCCTGAACTACAGATCACCTTCTCCAATTGATAAATAACTACTGAGTAATTGTACGAAAAATCACCCGTTTAGGCTACCTCAATGTGTATTTATCATTTAACTTGGTTCCATGGAACTGAAAATATAGGTATTAGAAAACTTTTTCTTCTTTACAACATGCAGATGGGTATTCAGCTACTTTGCATTCGGATAGAACTTTTGGTTTGTCAAATCTTATGTTTATCTTGTGACTTTTATCACCCTACAGATTTCAGGGTAAATCGTTTCCGTCTCTAAAATCAACTTTTATTTAACTCTTAACCAAAACACTATTAACGAAATTTTGCTCTGATGTTCCTTCAAAAGTGGACGTTAATGTTTTTGTAATACATATACAAACAATGGTGCAGTTGTGGAAGATGACAGCGTCGAAACAAAGAATCGTTTTCGCTGAATAATTTCCCTTCCTTTAGGATCCTCGGAAATAATATGAAAATGTTCATGAAGTAACCGTAGACGGTTGATATAAAAGTCAATATATCGAGCTGGGTGGCCAGTTAATCGATCTACTTATAACAAATCTTTGCAGTTTATTCTCAGAATAAGTTTCCTATACTAGTCAAATGAGCAGCAAAAAAGTTTCAATCTCAAATTATTACGGTACAATTTTTTAAGCTGGAGAACTATCTAATATAAGTTTAGATTTCTAAAACGCATATACTCTCAATTATCATGATAATAATTTTACCAAGCACCATCCCAGTTTATCATGGGCATTAACAAACGCACCAAAGAATTATGAGGAAATAACAAAAAAGTAATGACATTTTAAAAAATCACCACAAACGAACAAAACATAAAGTACATTAAAAAGCTCCTTACTTTTATATTTTTGTCCTTAAAATGTGTGCAAACAAACAACTGAATAATATTCACTTGTTTGAATGCTACATCATATCTAATAACATCACAAAACAATGAGTTCAATAACCCTTGGAAATTAAAAAAGGAAGTCGTTTTGCACTCACAGACGTTTACCCAATATGACTATTTTTCAACCTGCACTGCTACACCACAAAATAACCATGGCCATAATTCTGCCAACTAGTTACAACATTAAACAATGTTGATATGGAAGTCTTTGAAATGTCCGTCTACATGTCAGAGAGGTCATAGCTGATGTCTAGAAACAACCTCACAAATACAACAGCAGCTATGCCCAAACACTCGCCAACCGATCTCAGTAGTACATAAATAGTGTTCCTGATAAACATAAGCAATCTTGAGCAATCAGACATGCCAGAACATACACCCATATCAAATATCCACCCTCGCCATGATACGTCGTTACGTGGATGGACGCTTCCTTCCAGGATCCTCTAATAATAGCGTGTGTCTATAACCTTGATCACGAGAAACCGTTGACATAGGACCCCCAACACTAAAAAAAGCTGAGAAAGTTGTAGGTAACGTGAAAAGAGGAAGAGCGGCTGGGGGAGACTGGCTAGTAAGAAAGGTATTTAAGGATGGTGGCAGAGGATTACTGATCAGGTTAACTGAAGTGCTAACTAGTGTATGGGAGTCAGATATGGTCGTCTCTGACTGGTATCAATCATTGATTATCCCAGTCCTCAAGAAAGGCGAGAAACCCCCTTGTGATAACCACAGGGGAATCAGCCTGACGAATATAATGTCTGAGATTTTAGGTTCAATAGATACTAAACGTCCGAGTGGAGCAAGCAAACAGAGAACCCAAGAAAACCAGACAGGTTTTAGACTTGGTCGTGGGTTTATCGACCAGATACTTACACTACCCCAAGTTCTGGAACAGAGATACACTGACAGACGCCCTGCACTAGCTGTATTTCTCGACCTGAAGGTGACATTCGACTTCGTCAGTCAGGAGGTCTTATGATACTATCACTCATTGAAAAGGGTGTCGAGTAAGTACACCACTCAGTTGAAAGCTATGTACTCCAAAACCCTTGGGCGTGTTAGAATGTAGTCAGTGATCACGTGAGTTATGTACATCATGTGGTGTTCACTCTCTCCATTGTAACTTAACTTTTTTATAGACTGTTCTCATTGAGGTCTCCCTCTAGTCATCTGATTTCACGGGGATTGATCTTTTCACAGGGGAATCCTCAGCAAATTTAGACTACACAGAAGACACAGTTCAGTTCAGTGAAAGCCCTGAAAAGATGTAGGGTCTTCTGGATACCTTAAGTGGCAATTTCTGAATAGTTGCGATGCGTTTATTACCACCCGGATGCAAACTGTTTCTACATGAGTGGTCTTCACTGGTGCCATGTTTAACAATTGAAGGTGGAACGCCTGAGTGGGTTGACCACTTTACTTACCTGGGAAGTCAGATCAGCGCTAGTGGGTCAGTTGCTGACGAAATCTTCACACAAATACAAAAAGCTAGATTGGTTTTCGCTAACTTAAGTCGTTTATGGGGCCGGTGTGATTTTGGGTTGTTTATTGCGACCTGAGTCCACTACACTATAGTTCGCTATGTTCGGCTGTACTGTTGCGAAACATGGCCATCAAAGGTAGAGGATGCGAGGCTTCAGATGTTCAACCACCTTTACCCTCGTAGCATAGGCCGTACGTCATAGTGTCACCATATCAGTAGCATAGACGTCAGGCGTAGAGTTCCAGGTAGAATGGGATATCTGGTTGGTCAGGTTTCGAACATTCATCGACTCAGGCGGCTATAATATGTGTTGCACATGCCTAGTCACCGTCTGTTCCATAGCACAATGTCAACTGAAGTAGGCTTACGATGAAAAAGGTTAGGGGTGACCAGAATAAAGCATAGAACCATTAGGCGAAGTCTTTGAATGTTTGCCTCAGCAATGTAGGGGAATGCAGACTACCTGATTGAGGTCATCTTGATGACAGAAACCAGAGGTTGGAGACTAGCTAAAGTGATTCAAAGTCGATCCCAATAACGCCGATGTATTCATACATTATCTTCATGTTATTCGTTATGATCAATTCAGTATTTTCTTATTCGGAAAAAAGTAGGTGTCCATGGTTTACCAAGCAATTAGTTGATGCGAAACTGTAGCTACAAGAGGTAATAAAGCATGATCTGCAGACTAATGATGAAAAGTGTATCAGAATTCCCGAGTAAACAGTGTAGCAATAATTCCGCTAAGTAACAAGCATGGGTACCCAGCACTTGGCTTTGCAGTATTGCGTTGTCAATCACGCATCAAGCCAGAAGTTGCGGAAAGGGTTCTCAAAGACTGCCACATACCTGAATTCGGGCACCCGATGAATATCCTAGCTCTAGATCCAATGATGACAAAAAATTCTACAGTGGTGACACCAAAGCACACATCTTTCTCGTTACTACGGGTTTACACACATAAAAGGTGATCGAAATATTTATCTATAATAATGAATATTTTCTTCCGAGTTTAATTTATTTCAGCGTCATATTTATTCTGAAGATCCATTTGTTTGTGAGCTATCTACCAGGAACTATAGAGTTATATTCAACTTTCATGTCATCTTGGAAAATATAAAGTGCTACAGGCTTCAACTTATAACTTCAACCTAGAGAGAGTACTAAAAACATTCATCGCATTTTGAATTTAAGGCAAATACGTAAACCACAATGAGTAGAATAAAATTTTTAATACTTTGCAAAAATTAATACTTGTTACTTACCGTTAAACTATGCATATTTCTCCGCTTTGATGGAGGAATGTTAACGTTGACATTTGGTGGTGTATTAATTGTCTGCCTGCCTTCAGCATCTCCTGAAAAGCGTCTTTTATGATGAGTTGGTGTATTGCCCATAGTTTAACGTACAAATACTACCGAATCAGCCTAAAAACTATTAAAGAAAGAGCATATATCACATGACTGTCGTAAACTACAGATATAACATGATGAATATTTGTAGCTCACGTCAGCATAAATGCTAACCATCCATGTCACTTGAATGTGTTTCACTTGATTACAAAGTTAGTTTCGATAAGGTCAGTGAACCTTTTGAATCGTCTAAAACAATCATTCGAAAGGACAGAACAGAACTGTCATACACTTAGTGGCAATGGTCTAGCTCGAATGATTCAATGGGAACGAAATTGACTGCAGCACTAGGTGAGGAAAGTAACCATTCCCGGAAAGACAACAGTTCCCTTAAGTTCACATAAACTCTTAGATGACGAACAACAACAAACATGAAATCAAGGCATACGGTTTCTTGTTGAATCCCTCCAAGCACCTGGAAAAATTAACGTAACTCAACTGAGTTCATAGACCTATTCACTGGGCTACGAACAACAAGTGTTATGCGAAGGTTTATGCTAGTATCCGACTGCCAAAGCCGAGGAGCTCGCTTCACTGGTTAACGAAGTTAAATTTCAACCAGTGAGACAGGTTCGAAGCTCTTGCCACCTTTCGACGTTTAAGCTACTAAGTGGCACCATTATCCCTCACATAACAGAGATGAATCGTTGCCTAGTGCCCAAAATGCATTTCCATTATTGCCTGGTCTTCAACCCAAAACTCCAAGTGTCGGAAAAAAGATAAATCAATGTGCAACCTCACACAGATGTAGATCAGTTCAAGTTGCCACATTTCACAGCAACATGGAGAGAAAAAGTGGATAGAGAGACTGTGATGTTAAATTAGTCAGAAGTGTATGGGATGAGAGAAATTAAAAAATGAAGGTTATTAAGATGGTCAAAGTTTGGAAGATGTAAAAGAGTGAATATATCTTCGTAATTGTGGTTGATTTTCGGCTGTTGCCAACCAATGACTGCTATTATCTTGAAGACGCCAGTTAATGAAACTTGGTACATGTTTATGCATAAGAATATGGGCTACACTTAATGTATGAGGGTTTACGATACAATCCGTTACCTGAAGCCGAAGTGGAATGGCGTTTGAACCCAATAAAGACTGCTTAAGATTCGAGTGCGTAAACCAGAGCCACACATTCACGTGGACCCGAATTGGTATTATGTATTTTCATACACGGCTCAAACCAATAGCTACAGACTTCATGAACGAACGTTATGTTTCATTCAGGCAGCATGTAATCTAGTCAAAATCTATTTCGGCCAGCAATGCAGAGTAGGGCAGACAGCGAGTGAGCATGCGTAGAGCACGCCCCAGCCATATGAATTGATGCAGCCTAACAACCTCACCAACTGATTTATCTTCCCTGCCTAAGACTCCACTAATGATGTGGTACAGCCACTTCAAACCTTCTGTATGACGAAGACGAAGGCGGCTGAACGCTTAAAACCATACAACGTCCTCTAACTTTAACGACCAATTCATGCAAACATAATAGAACAGAGTAAACTACATCGCCATACACTTGATTCTGAATAGGAAGTCGCATATCACACCGGTGTCAAAGATGGCGTAAGTTGATATGAGTCAATTAAGCCTTTCGCATCCTAGTGGAAATGTCAGCGATCAATAACCAGTCAAAACTGATTGGATTTACGACGCAAATAAACAGGCTAATGCGCTTAATCTGTCAAAAACAAAACGATGATTTAGAATTGGCCTTCAAGTATTTCTGGTTTGAAGATAGTGAGTGAGGTGGTTGAATGCATTGAACACTTCGCTTACTTAAGTCCAGATAAATTGGTTGCAGACAAATTCTCAGCTCATTTACCAATTGTTGTCATTTCTGACGCTGGCGGTATACCCAACTATCTAATAAAGGGCGAGTGACTGTGCTGCAGTTGACTGTCTTATTATACGGTTGAGACATAGTCCATGAAAAAAATACATAAAGAAGTTACAAGTTCTGACAACAGATGTCTTCATAGTACTGCTCACTCATGGGGGAATCCCCGTGTGGGTCGTGTCAAAGTTAGGCGAAGGGTAGTTGATAAGGAAGATACGTTGGTCGATGGGGTTGTAAACCTTCACAAACTGACGTGGCTTGAACATATCTTACGCATGCCGTCGCACCACTCATCTCAACGTACAATGTTAACCAAAGTATGATCAGGTTGGAAGGAGGATAAGGGTAACAACACTAACACCTGAGATCAATCCATGAATTCTCCGACGCTTGGTCTGAGTCGTGTAGATAGGACTAAGGTCTTCAAGATAATAGCAGTCATTGGTTGGCAACAGCCGAAAATCAACCACAATTACGAAGATATATTCACTCTTTTACATCTTCCAAACTTTGACCATCTTACTAACCTTCATTTTTTAATTTCTCTCATCCCATACACTTCTGACTAATTTAACATCACAGTCTCTCTATCCACTTTTTCTCTCCATGTTGCTGTGAAATGTGGCAACTTGAACTGATCTACATTTGTGTGAGGTTGTACGTTGATTTTGTCTGTCTGTCTATGTAATACACATACTTGTCTGCGCCACTGATTAGTAGCTAGGTAGAGTTTTGATGGTAGATAACTTTGCACTGTGAAAGTCACATTTTGGTGAGTGATATCACTTCTTCAGTATTTTTGGTTATACATCAAATATTTACAGAGAAGATAGTTAATCTGCAGCAAGTAATCAGCGTTGGTGTTCATTGTATAGACAGGATTATGACCCGTCTGTTTTTTATCTGTGGATAGTGGTCATGCCATGTTGCTCGTGAGGCAAGTGGAATATTTGTTCAGCACTTGCCAGCTTTTTGTTGTGCGTGGCAATCTGTTCCTTCATTCAAGGAATAATTTGGCATGAGCAACCGGTTACAGGTCTAATGAGTTTAATGCTTGTGTAAAGTGGAACACATTACAGCCTCCTAACTGTCTTCCGTTTCTCAGCAGAGTGCACACATGGCTACTTTGTAGTCGTCTTTTTATTAGATCTTCATGGTCATTAAGGGTTTGAAATGCCTTTCACTGAATACTTGACGACCAGACAATATTTTTATACCTCATTCGCATGAATAGGATCAATCAACCAAACGATTGTCATGAAAACTTAATCAGAACTTCGGGTGACATTGATAATAGTAATAACTATCTAATAAAAGTAGATGTAATATGTTAAGTTGATGTAAAATAGAAACCTGATACAAAGTTCGGTGCCGGTCTATGGGTTAAAATATAGTATGTAATCTTACTTAACTATCCAGCTGAATTGGGCTGGTTATCGTTGAAATTTGCATTACAATGGTTAGTAGTCTGAAGTCTAGACAGATGAGCTATGGATACAAAAGTCAAAATAACTGATACATGAAAAGTATTCACACCCTGACGTTTTTTAAGGCCTGAATATTGGCACTTAGCTCTATTTTCAAATTGCTTATGCTCTCACACAACTTTTCCTACTTTGATATGACTCTTGTTTTATCCACTTGTTCTTTGTATACTGCTGTGAAGTGTAGCAACTTGAACCCATGCATTTGTGCACAAAATTTTAGATTGATTCTGTCCGTCTGTCTGGTACACAAGTACTGCAATGGTGAAGCTGTGGTTTACTGGCTTAAGCACGTGACTTTCGAGCGAAGGGTAGCAGGTTCGAATTCCCCACCTAGACCAAATTCCATCTGGGCAACCAGGCAGTATAAGTTTTTATATTTAGTTCAACTAATAGTCTAGTGAATGAAATGAAGTACAAATTAGCAGCCATATGGATGTTAGCGCACTAGGCAATGAGCCATTTCTATTGTGAAATGGCCAGACTGTTGTTGGTGAAGTGACGTTCAAGCAGGCAATCCATTGGTCACAGGTCTAATTGTTCAATTTCCAAATAGATGAGTTACATGATTTGGTATACCTCTTCTTACCCATGGCGTACTGAGGTTGTGTCTATAAGAAGTAATAATAGTGCGAAGATAATATGCATACCACCGTCCTTAGGGTTTTAAAAACATCCTACGAAATTACCATCTGAATTCCAAAAATACTATCTGAATTACTGATGTCAGCCCCGACACAAACATATGGCTAAAAGGATTTTTTGGACGATATTTTATTGCTATGAGACTGAGTTAAAGGAGTAAAACAGTATGGAAAATCAAATGTCTTAAACACAACCACCTGAATTTAGCATTTTAGCCATAAAAATGTAAGCTTTATAAATGAAAGTGGAACAACCAATATAAACCAATCAAACAATATCTTCTGGGTAGCAACAGCACGGTTGAGTAAAATATCACTATTATTTTGAGTGTTATGTAACGAATAAAAAGTGAGATCAACTTCACTGACTTATAGGTGATGATAATCCAGTGCTGTAGTAACTTCGATCTAACGAAAGATATCATATTTCCTTTACTAATTGCGCTTTCAAATGCAGAATGTGTAACCTGCTAGCTGAAATCAGCACATGTTGAATTGAGGGTTTCTAAACTATGCCACTTTCTGAGCAGCATTGACACCAAGTGACCATCATGCATGTACGGTAAGCAAGATTTGAAACTAAAAGTGAGCCACCCTTAGAAAATCTACATATCCCATACTCTTAGAGCAGCTTACTGAAGCATACAATTGCGAAATAGCGAAAAAGTATGTAGATAATTCTTCCACTTTCCTTGATAAAAGTAACAGTTCTAATGTGGCCATGTAAAGCAACGGATGGCTTACTTTTTTTGTTCCAATTTGGAGAACAAATAATTCAAATGCACACCAACTTCCATGAAAAATGTATTAAGGTTGTATCATGATCCTATTATTGACAGGCTGGAAGTTATTAAAAGTCATTACTTACGCTATCCTGAATACTAACCGTTTCAAGAAAAACCTTTAGTGACAGCTGTATATTCTAGTAAGACAGTAAACAAGTGCTAGCGAGTACATTTAAACTATTGTCTATTTAATTTAGATAACCTGAAGGTATAACAACTGAGGCACAAATGT